TGCAGGATCAGGGCTAAAATGAGCAACTTCTGTTTTGTCGGAGACGAGGAGTAAATTAAACTACGACATATGGCTTATATTGATTTGTCATAACATTGGAACTTAACATGTGCATTCTGATACAGCCATAACTAGCATTGTGACTATCACTGTGATGACAGCGATGAACATTGAGAAAAAACTTCTCATATATAAGGACAAAAGAAATCTGCATGAACAGAGGGAAAGCTTCTAGATTAGGGCTTGCTTCCCTCCTGCATTATGCCAGTAACACAAGGAGACTTTGATGTAAAACACTGAGGCTACGTCTACACTGGCAGCTTCTTTTGCGCAAAAACTTGCCTGCTGTCTACACTGCATGCGCATTCTTGTGCAAGTAAATTTACAGTATAGCGTTGAAAACAGGGCTTCTTCCGGAAGAGTTATTCCTCTCCCCACAAGGAATAAGCCCTCTTGTGCAAGAGCTCTTCCAGAAGAGGGCAGTGTAGACAGGCAACATGAATTTCTTGTGCAAGAAGCCCCTATGGTTAAAATGGCCATCAGAGCTTTCTTGCGCAAGAGAGCATCTACACTGCCGTGGATGCTCTTGTGCAAAAGCACATGGCAGTGTGGACACGCTCTTGTGGAAGAGTTTTTGCACTAGAACTCTTCCACAAAAGAGTTCTTGTGCAAGAAGCCGCTAGTGTAGACGTAGCCTATATGTTCTGGCCCAATCCATGTGACCAGCCCTCTTGAAGTCAATAGGGCAGTACAGAATCTCTAACCAAAGCATGTATGTAAATGCTTTCTTGGATCAGACCACCTTGCAGGATTGAGGATCGAGTGCTGAGTTACACCAGCATGAAACTGGAGTAACACTGGGATGAATCAGGCCTGTTGGCTCTTTTCCCCAGAATTCAAGCTGGTTTAAAAAAATGTCCTGTCCTTTGGTTGTGAAGATAACCTTCCATTTGTAAACCCATTTAGCAATGTCACTCGGACAATGAGAATGATTTTAGAATGACATGGCTTTCTGTCCAAAGGATGCAAAAGTGCTTTTTTACTTTCCAACTCTGAGGCTTAATTCAATTTGCACTTTGGATGATAACATTGTTAATCATTTCATGGCTGAGAGGTAGCCAACGCATTTATCATCGTGAAGTGACGAGGAGTAACGGTAGTTCGAACTAGGAAGCTTAGTTCGAACTACCTAGTTCGTGCCCCGTGTAGCCGCGCTGCACGGGATTCGAACCAGCGGGGTTTAAAAAATGGCGGCTCCCCGCTTATGCAAATGAAGCCCGAGAAATTCAAATCCCGGGCTTCATTTGCAAGTGTGGTATGCCTACATTACCCTCCTAGTTCGAACTAGCGGGGTAGTGTAGACATACCCTTAGGGAGAGGAGAAGCTTCCATAGAGCTCATGTTCAGGACTGGAAAATATTCTCACAGCTACACAGAAGGTGAAACATGGTTTAGCGTAAGTAGTTAACACCTATTTCAAGGGACCATTCAAGGTGAAGGGGCCCATTAACACCTCTGGGATCATGAGGGGGAGGGATGGGAGAGGGTGATAAGTGGCTTATAGAGGTTTGCAATTAGTGTCCCTCTCCACTCCATGATTTTTAGTCCCCAAGGAAGTTTTGAATTTAACGTCCCAGACTGTTGAATGTGTTGGGCAGGTTTCCTTTAAGGATGAGGATTGACAGGTCAGATATACACAGTGCTGGTGACACTTGTGGAGGACCTGGGGAGGGAGAGAAGGGAGGGGGCTCTGCTTCAGACCCACCAGAAGGGCTGGGGCTGGAGCCTCCCTCCAACCTTCAGCGCCACCCAGACTGTCTCCCGGGGTTCTGGTAGCAATTTAAAGGGCCCAGGGCTTCGGCCACTGCTGCTGCTGCCGCCATGGTAACAGTGGTGGTGGTGGGAAGTCTCAGGCCCCTTTTACATCACTGGCTCCTGGGGCAACTGCCCCTTTTGCCCACCTCTACCCCGTCGGCAGCCCTGGACATAGAGAAATCACTCTGGGAAAAGTGCTCACCCACAGGTGATAGGGGGTTCTACTCTTTTGTCATTTCCCTGTGTGAGTTCCTTGGAGAGCGTAGTGATTGTGTGGTTTAAACCCAAACACGGGCAGCGAGTAACCTATGGAAGGGGAGGCAAATGCCTTCCCAAAACTGCCCATGCGGGCACCAGGCCGCCAGGCCTCTCTCAGCCTCAGAGTTTGGGGGCACGTGACCCCTGTCGCCTTCCCCCCCCCTCCCCGATGCCTGGCCTGGGTGGCGTTCGGAGGGAGGCTGTTAATGTTGCAGAGTTGGAGGATGTTGGGTTGTGCCCTAGAGCAAGCTAACCCACTGTGTGGTGAATGGTTTGAGGACAGTTTCTAGGAGTCCTGGTATTTCTTCAGGACGAGGGCTGTGGCCAGAGGGGTCTGGCTTGTTTGGGTATTTGAGAGAGTATGTAGAGGTCCCCGAAGCGGGTTTGTGGGTTAATGAAGTTGTAGAGTTTCTCAAGGAGGTGCCTGGGGAAGAATTTGATGACCCCCTTACATTCCTGGGTAAACTGTGGTGTGGGCTCTTTGCATTATTTATGACATGATGGTGGAGGACTCTGATGGCTTCCCCTTCCTGCTGGTTTGATCTCTGGCTGCTGCCTTTCAGGGGCTGTGGAGCTGTCTTCTTGGCAGCAGAGGGATTGTGGTTGATGTCACATTTCACAGTCCTTTTTTTTCCCTGAACCAGTCAGTATAATGACCAAGAATATGGTTTCGTTCACTGCGACATGCCCATCATTTGTCTTATGACACTCACGGGGAACATAGTAATTGTGGGTGTTAGGTTGTGAAAGAATTCATGTGAAAGAGTCATGGAAGAATTCTTCTTGTTCCCCACATATTAGTACCGGTCAAGCTCTGTGGTGGGGCAGAAGTTTAGTCTCTTGCAGAGCACAGATGATTCAGCTCCGGTTAGGCGTGGTCTTGCTAAATTGCTGATGTCAGGCTGTCCTGTAGCGTCCATGTGGTGAGTCCTGGTGCCAGGGTTTCTGATGGACATGCCATTCTGTGGGCTGCGGTGTTGTTGTTGACTCCACTTTCTCTTTTAGCCGTTGGCTGGCTGTCACAAGGATTATTTGCTCATTGTTTTGGGTTTCATGCATGATTTGCAAGCAAGTTTCCTGATTTTTTTTTCCCTTCCAGCCTGTGGGAGAAACTGCTGAGTTCTTGTGTGAGGCAGCCCCTTCTGGAATATGCACGGTTCAGTTAGTGGTCCTGCAATTTTCCCAAAGAGCTCTTCAGCATATTTGGTGTAGTATGTAGTGGTCAAAGGGGAATTTTGTAGGTTTCCTATCAAGACTAGTCCAGCAGCATTGGCAGTTCACTTTAAACCATTTCCTGCTAACTGCGCTCCTAGGCCACAGTCTTGTAACTGATAGCATGGAATTGGCGTGCTAAGTGCATGCCAGGCCCCATTAACTTTGAAGCTCCCAGCAATCTGCCTATCCATTGTCAATTGCAGAATAAGAGTATTTGTCAGCCTCCCTTGAAATACTGGATACTCCAGAGAGTATTCTACACATTAGGCATTGTGCCACCCATACCTAGTGTCTTGTGCAACAGGAAGGATTTAATAATAAATATCCACGAATGAGTGTCTCTCTCTCTCCTTGCGTCTTACTATGAAATCTGGCACTAAAACATAAGAGCAAAGTCAAAGGAGAACAGAAACCCAGTTCTCCCCTCGGGCAATCCTTCCATCTCAATCATGTACATTTTTCAGATTAAAGATCCATCCAGTTGAAAACTACATTCATGAATGAAAATTGAGTAACTAACACTGAACTGTAACTGTCAGGAGTTAGTGAAATAAATCTATTTTATTGTGACGTTTCAAGTTTTTAACTTTGTTTTAGTTTGCTCTGTTTTCCTGGTGTTGCCTGTCAGTTTCACGCCAATTCTGGACCAGGACCCTCGGGCACATGCTTCATCTCCTGAGATCAGTGGGATGCATTGGATTTAGCATGGGTACTGGGAAAACCTGGTAGTAGCTCCCATTATAGGAGCAATGTTTTAAGGCTTGATTCTGCAAATCCCTGGGCACCTGAGTAGCTGTCACTGGTGAGCTACTCAGCTGCGCAAAGTTACTCCCACACCTAAATGTTTGTCTGAAGGCCTTCTGGACAGCAGAGAAGAAAAGCCTTGTGCCAACCCCCTGCTTGATTTGAAGCTCATTTGACTTTAAAGACCTCTAGTTTAGATCCTGGGACTTCAAAAGGGGAGCAGAAACCCCCTCAGAACACATTGTAAATGTAATTTCATTTCAGTACTATAAAGTTATACTGCGCTGCTTTCTGTTTACATGCCAAGTCATGCACTTTTTGAACACAAGCAGCTTGGGTGGTTGTTTTAAACTCAGGACTACTACCTTAAGAAACTTTTTCAAAATGGCAGTAACCACAACCCTTTAACCAGCATAAATACCACTCACTTTAAGAGGGAAATTGGTTGGTGGGGGCTCGCAACACTCTGCTTTTGCCCAGATTTCTATTATTCCGCCCTCTCTCTTCTCCCCTCCCCAGGAAGCTGTCTTGTGGCACAACTTTGGTTGCCATTTGCTCAGGCACAGCAATACAGGTCAGCCTCCTCGTTTTCTTTTCAGGGACACCTCCAGGTGGCTGCGAGACAAGGAAAGGGGCGGGGGTAGATAACGTGAAAGTAAGTTATAAAAAACACCCCACAACTTGCCTACAGGTGAGAGCCGAGTTTCTCCGACTCGTCCCCTGGCTGGCTCACGGCTGTACACACGCTGAACCCCAGCCTGCTGCCTGACTCATGCCGGGAACGCTGGGGAAGGAGCGACCCGTGCCGGAGGGAAGGGGAGGGGAGGAGCTGGCGGGGGAGGAGCAGAGGGGAGCAGGTGAAACTGACTCCTCCAGGAACTTTATCAGGGGCTGGCCTGTAGGAGAGCCCAGAGCCAGAGGGGACCCCCCCGCCGCTGCCTAGGGGCACCGAGCGAAGGGGCAGAGCCATGGCCGGGGAGCTGAGCCAGGAGGCGCTGCTGGATTTCTTGTGCCAGGCTGGGGGGCGAGTGACCAACGCCTCCCTGCTGGGCCACTTCCAGCGCTTCCTGCGGGAGCCCGGGGCGGCCGGGCAGGTGCAGCAGCGCCGGGAGCAGTTCAAGGGCTTCGTCAACGCCGTGGCCACGGTGCAGCAGGCGGCGGGCGGCCCCAAGTACGTGGGGCTGCGGGAA